TGGGTGGGTGTTCCATTCCTTGGTTTCCGTTGCCATTTCTGGATCTTCGGAAAGTGTGGTGGCTGTGCATCGCCTGATAGAGTTTCCTCAGGCACTCTGCCACAGAGGGTGGCAGAGAGGAGTAGGGATGGGCTAGGAGAAAAGACAGAGAGAGACTTCAGGAAAGAGCCAAGGGGATACTAGCCACACTCTAGCAGTAGAGTTCATAGGGAGTTGGGAGGTGCGGTGCGAAGAGGCGATCTATCAAGTAGGTTGCAGTAAGGCAAAGAATTATCTAGAAAGACAGGCATGAGTGTGCTCGCTCGACCCTGGGTCTGAACCAAGAGTTGGAGTCTCCAGTGGATGGAGTTGAAGTAAGAGGAGGAGCACTGTCAGCAAGTTGTTTCCAGACTAAGGCTGAGAATGAAGCGCTCTCAGTGGAGGACAGGAACTACAGAGTGGTTCACCTAATTGAGTCCCTGCCAAGTGTGGCCACTGCAGTTTCCAGTAGAAAGTGTGTTTAGGTATTGGGGGCTGACACATAGGAAGGGGTGATGAAAGGGTCCACAGGAAGGAGGCAAACCGGGTCTGCTGCAAGGTTTGGTGGAGTCCCCAGGGACCTGAGGCAGAGCGGGAGGATAGACCCCTGCAAGTGGTCTGCTACAGGGCTGAGGATGGGACCGGAAGAATTGCAGTGGAGGACAGGATGGAGGGAAGATGGCCTACCTGCTTCCCAGGCCAGTGTGGACTCTGGATTACCAAGTAGAGAGTGTTTGGAGGTATCAGCAGTTGATACAAAGGAGCAGTAATGGGTTTGAAGGGGTGGGGAGCTGAGAGGGTCCACAGGAAGTAGTAAAGCTAGGATCGCCTTGAGGTTTGCTGGAGTCTACAGGGAATGAAAGTGGGTAGGAGGACCATCCCCTGCAAGCGCTCTGCCACAGGGCTGGGGATGAGGCTGAGGAATTGCAGTGTAGGACAGGAAGGAGAATCAAGATGGCTTACCTGCTTCCCGGGCCAGCATGGCCACTGGGTTCCCAGGTGGAGAGTCTGGAGTGAGGGTCTTATGCCTTAAGATAATACAAGGGTCTGTTTCATTGGCTACCTAAAATGCGGGGAAGGGTTAGTTTATGTGGTCTGCCTTCCTGGGAAGAAAAGTTGTAGTTTCTAGGATTTTCTGTGAGGAGGAATTATGATCTAGAAAGCATGGATGAAAACAAAAACTGTATATCAACATCAAAGGCATGGTCAGTGTTGACACAGTATTACTCATCCCTGGAGGTGCTTCAGAAAGGGGGCAAGGCAGGGTTCCTTGATTGGTGTTTAGGAGAGTCCCAGAAGCGTAGGTGTGGCTCTTAGCAGAACTTGGCTACTCTGAAGTGGTGGCAGTGTGTCGAAGATGATAAACTCCACGCCGTGCAAGCTTCTCACCAGAGCGCTCTTCTAATCTTCTTGTCCTTCTCTACCCTTCCCCAGAGCCAGCCAGGCAGCAGTGTTTGTTCTAGCTCCGCATTATCTCATGATTGCATCTTGTGTCCTCTTTGACACCATGCTAGTCTGAGTAGCCAGCACCTTTTACTTGATGGACAGTGGCAGTCTTACCCCACTGGAATCTCAGTCTGGTGTCCCTTCGGGTCATTTAGCTATTGTGCACAAACCCATCACAAAAGCTGTTCTTGGAGTTTGGAGTGTCCTCTACTGAAGTTAGTACCACATCTTGTTCCCAAATCGTTTCCCCAAGTAAGCATCCTTTGTTCCCAAGACTGTATCTACTTGGCCCCAGCATCAGTTCTGTCACAGAACAGGTGTTCTGTGAATATGTTGTTGCACTAAATCAATGGGTGTGCAAGTAGGTGAACTGAATAAAGACATGGGTGGATGGATCAGGGATCGGAGACAAAGGCCACACACAGACTTGGATGCCTGAATTCCCCAACCTCCTAAGGAAGGAGGGATGTCAGTGAGGACATTGACACACCTGAGATAAACCAGTCAGCATGGAGTGGGGATCTTAAAGGAAAAGTAGCGTTCTTCCAACTCCTGATTTTGGCTTACTACTCTGTAGAGGCAACCATTTTTCTTGTTTATTTGTTGCGATGGGGTCTTACAATATACCCAAGGTGGCAATCATCCTGCCTCAGCCTCCCAAGTACTGGAATTCCAGGCGTAACTACCATGCTTGGTTTTGTTTTTGAATCTTTTGTAAAGCATTTCTGGGAATTATTTTGTTTAAGCAAACAACAGACCTTTAGATTTGGCATTTATGTCAAGGTAAGCATAATGTGGGATAGAGAGAGACAAATAGGAACTTCTTTAAAGATTTATTTTTATTTTAAATTGTATGCTTGTGTGGGGGTATTTGCACATGAGTGCAGGCGTCCACAGAGGCCCAGGGGCACTGGATTCCCTGGAGTTACAGTGGTTTTGAGATGTCTGTATGGGTGCTGGAACCAAACTCAAATCCTCTGCAAGAATAGTACACATTTTAACTGAGCCTTCTCTCCAACCCCAGGCTTTGATTTCTAACACCGTTTATTTCAAAGCTCATGCTTGTCAGGGCTGGAGAGATGGTTCAGCTGTGAAGAGTGCTTAGTTCTCTTGCAGTGGACCTGGGTTAGATTCCCAGCACCCACATGGCAGCTAAGAACCATCTTTAACATCAGTTTCTGAGAGCCTGACAACTTCTTCTGACCTCCATGCGTACTGCATGCACGTGATACACAGATACACAGGGAGGCAAAACACCCTTTCACAAAAATAAATGAAGGAAGGAAGGAAGAAAAGAAAAGAAAAGAACACCAAAACCTAGTTCTGCATGGCCTGGGCTATATGGCCTTGAACAGGAATCTTCTTTAGAATAACCAAATTTTCTTACTTGTAAAATGAAACAGTTAGTCTCAATTTCTTCCTGTTCTAAGGATCTAGTTGTGGCTTTTCATTCCCTTTCCCTTCCCCAGGAGTGCTTTGAAGAGGACCCAGGGCGTAAGTGGATGGATGGCTTGCTCAGTAACCCAGGGATGGAGGCTGGATCCCACACAGGGCTCTTCATGGATAGCTACCGTTACTTCCATCCAAAACAGGAGAGGGCCTTCACCTGCTGGTCAGTGGTCAGTGGTGCACGCCCTCTCAACTATGGCACTCGAATTGACTATGTACTGGGGGATAGTACCTTGGTCATGGACACCTTCCAGTCCTCCTTCCTACTCCCCGAAGTGATGGGCTCTGACCATTGCCCTGTGGGAGCTGTCTTGAATGTGTCCTGTGTGCCAGCAAAACAGTGCCCAGCTCTGTGTACCCGCTTCCTCCCTGAGTTTGCAGGTACCCAGCTCAAGATTCTTCGCTTCCTAGTTCCTCTGGAACAAGAACCTGTACGAGTTCAGCCAGTACCGCAGCCCAGCCATCAAATCCAGGTACAGAAACACCCAAGTAAAGCTCGCATGCATTCAAGCAGGCCTCGGAAAAGTCAAGGCGGCTCCAAAAGGAACCAGAAAGACCTGATGAGTTACTTCCAGCCTTCCTCTAACCTTCCCCAACCCCCTCCTGTTGTGGAACTACCTAGTGTGCCTCTGGTGGGCACTCTTACCATCCCAGAGACTCCAGAAGAGGTCACAGTGGCCACAGTGGTGGAAGAGAAGGCCAAGGTTTCAGAGGCCAAAGATGAGAAAGAAATACGGACCTCCTTCTGGAAGTCTATGCTGAGTGGGCCCTCACCCATGCCCCTCTGTGGAGGCCATAAGGAGCCGTGTGTGATGCGTACTGTGAAAAAGGCAGGACCCAACTTGGGCCGCCATTTCTACATGTGTGCTAGGCCCCGAGGTCCTCCCAGCGACCCCTCCTCTCGCTGTAACTTCTTCCTCTGGAGCAGGCCCAGCTGAAAGAACTGAGGCCTAGGGACGTCTGGCATGGTTACCTCATGCACAGGGTCTGATGCCAGGTCCATGCCTCTAAATTTGTCTTCTCCCCTGAGGCTTCCTTTCTTTCTCTGCTTTCTCTTCTCTCATTTCCCTCCCTTTCTTCCCTTCTTCTCATATCTCTGTTCCTTCCTCTTCATACACATAGGAACCAGGAACTAGTTTAAATCCCTTCTGCCCTTCTAGACACTGTATTCGTTCATAAATAAAGTCTGGCCTTTGTCTCAGTGTGCTGTGTTGAGTGGATATTTTGATGCACTCTAGAAAGTTGAGTCAGGCTTTCTCAGTACTAGGCTTTCTAGCCTCCCATAGCCCAGTGTCATACTGCCAAGGCAGCAGTTGGAGGGAGGAGCTATGTGCCTCATGAAGGAGTCTGCTGCTCTCCAGGGATTACCCGAGACTCTGAGGTTGGATCAGTGAGGAAGGTGGGTGTGGTGTGGGTTGTGTATATGTAAACAAGAGCTTCCCAAGTTGTGGGTTCTTCAGATGTAACAGGTGCTCATCAGAGAGAAAGAAGGGGTGTTTTAGCCCTCTGAGTCACAGGGCCTGCGATACCTTAAGTCTCGGAAGATGACCACCTCAGCCAGTAGAGTTACTAGTTCCCTGTTGGAAACCTTGTGTGAAGACATTGTGTACTATATCCAAGCCTCTTCCTTCACCTTGAGAAAGGCTTGTAAATCATGTAACATGCTTTTGGAAGGAAAGAGGATAGTAGATCAAGAAAGACATTTTGTTCCTCATTCTGGAAGATTTCTTGGTTTGGGAAAGCCATTATTTCCAAAGGACAGTCCATCTTTAGTTGAGACCTACTTAGTGTTCTGATATCAGAGGCTACCTGCGGCTCAGCTTTCCAGGTGTACCAGTGAAGAGGAGAGCCCTGTATTTTTGTTGAAACCTTTGAGAAAGCTACTTCAAGTCTGCTAAGGGTTTAGCTCTTTGTACAACTTCCAATACAGTTTCGGAGCATTTCTCTCCTCTTCCTAAATGTGGCTTTTTCTGTCAGTAAAATAGAGTGGTCAGACCACCAAGTAATCTGTGGTTTCCTTGTGGGGCTGGAACTTGTCTGAATGAGTCAGTATAGTACAGTTCCCTGTTCTTTGTCCACCAAAGGGCTACGAATGCTTCAGGTTGCTCTTTATTTTCAGAATCCAATCAGCTAGAAGCACACAACAAAGCAGAGAATAGAAGAAACCCAGCCCCAAATGGAGTGCAGGTGGTGTGGGCATCCAAGGCAGCTGGCTTCTTAGGCATAGGTGGTAACATATTGGGGCCCCATGTTCCCAAAGTAGGATCGCTCCCACTCACTCATAAGCTCAAAGTGTACAGGACGATGACAGAAATTGCATGCAGCCACAGACACATCCTGGAGGGGCAGCCCCACCTCAGTCCAGGCTAGCAGCAGCTTCTCTGAAAGGGGATAAAAGAAGAGGGAAAGAATTAGTTAAACGTGGTCTGCTAAAACCGTTGTTGCTACAAATGCGCCAAGATCTTGACTCCCACAATCCTTTGAGGGAACTTGGGTCCAGAAGTGAATTTGGTTGTTTGTTTCAGTGTGACCCATGAATGCCACCATTTGTCTGTTGATGCTGAGATGTAAAAGACGGGAAATCATGCCTATGACAGGATCAAAACCATGCTGTACTAGCCTGTACCACTCCCTACATAAAGGACATGTATAAGCTCAACAGTGAATCTCTGCTTAGAAAACCCTAACCTGATAAAGATGACACTAAAAGTAATCATACTGTGGTATCGATGTTGTGAGGCAGGGTAGGGGCCGCATTCCTGAGGTGTGTAGGGACCCAGAGGAGGGACTGTGACCCAACTGTAGGAAGTACTTCAGGTGTGTGGCTGGTCTCTGTTTTAAACGCCATTTTTTTCCCCCATCCCTTGCTGGTACGATCTAGTCTTAGGTTCTTAAACACCGTCTGTGTGCTGATGGTTCTGAAGTTTTTATTTCCAGCTTTCCTAGAACTCTGTGTCAGTTTCCAGACTTGTAGCGTTTCTGCTTGGCTGCCTAATAGCTATATCCAACAACATGGACACACCTGAACTATTCATATCTCTGTCCTCCATATGACTGTTCTGCTCACTTTTCTGCCACTTACCTATACCATCCATCCACACCCATCTTCTTGTTCCCCCAATATAAGAGGACTATTATTTGCCTTGGACTGTTCTCTGGGATGTCCATTGGATATTTACCCAGCTAACCTCTTTGTCTCCATCAAATCTTTTCTCTAGTGTCACCTCAATGTTTTCTGCCCTTGCCATTTCAAACCTGCGGCCCTTCTCTGAGCCAGTGCCTGCCTGCAGTACATATTGTCACCCTTTTGTGCTTTATGTTTTCCCTTAACACTTTGAACCAGAGTGCTAATTGATTGATTCATTTTTTTAAAAATTAAACATCCCTTTCGACTAGAGTTAAGCTCCGGAAGGGTAGAATTTTGTATTTTGTCTATTAGTAGGTCCCTAGCACAATGTCTAGCCCGTAGTAAGTACACAATACATATTCATTGGACATAGCTAGAGAAGTAAAATGCACATGGCAGAAGAGAGGACAGGACAGGGCAAAAACAGCACCACGTACACAGCACTGACTGTCATACTGAGGAGCTTCAACTCTGGTCTGTAGTCCAGGGGTCTCTACAAATGTGGGGCTACACATCCTCAGCAGTATAAATGGTTTAGCAGGTCCCTCCAACCTGTATTTATTTGTATATTATGGACATTTGTTGTTGTCATTTTGCATATTAAATAGTGATATATATTCTCAGCCTGTGGGTCATCTTGAGTCTCTTACTTTAGATAGAGGTCGCTGTTCCAGAGGATAGATTCTAAGAGCTTAGAAAATGCAACAACAGGCAATGAAGAGGTTTAGGAAGTGGAGCAATATTTTGGGGTTTTAGAAAAACCTCAAAGAGACGCAAGGAAATGAGGGGGAAATATATTGATATATTTTTAAGAAATAGCAACAGAGAAAGGAAACTAAGCTTGAAAGAAGTTAAAGAGAAGATGTGCAGGATTTCAGGATGAGTTGACTATGAGATCGAGTAGTGGAAGAAGATGTCTCTAGTATGTCTTTCCTGCATAAGTGAGCACTCAGAGGCCTAAGCACTGAGAGCTCTCTGACTAAATCCCAGAGCTAGAGAAGAGACTAAAGCATCCACTCATAGAAGCCTAGTAGTGGCCGGGTGGTGGTGGTGCACACCTTTAATCCCAGCACTTGGGAGGCAGAGGCAGGCGGATCTCTGTGAGTTCGAGGCCAGCCTGGGCTACAGAGTGAGTTTCAGGACAGGCTCCAAAGCTATACAGAGAAACCCTGTCTCAAAATCAAAAAAAAAAAAAAAGCCTAGTAGCTATGACCACAGAGGTAAGTCAGGACCCTAGTGTCTATGTGATCACGAACCAGTAACTTTTTATACTTCCACTTGTACAAAGTACAAAATGAAAATTATAAAAGTATCTCTAGCCTGTGTATTAAGTGGGTTAATACATTTAAAGCAGTGCTTGTCATAGGTTAATAATGGATATTAGGCAGCTTTATTTGATATTTTTAAGTGAATGAATGGATTAATAGCACCTAACTATCTTCTTCAGATTATCCTGCCTATGTGCTAGACAGAATGACTTGTCAGTACATGCCCTCTGCTTTCTATCTACTTAGTACTCTTGGAATTCTTTTAGTCTAGAATCTTAGCACTATGTCCACATGTAGTTCAATGTGGACCACAAAGACTTGCTCAACTATAAATCCTTTCTAGTTTTGCTCGTGTTCCATAGCCACTCAGCTCATCATATCAGACTAGTCTGTATCTGTCTCCTCTGCCATTGATTGCCTGCATATATTTCACAGAGCAACTTCTATGTGCTAGGTTCTATGTTAAAAACTACACCATGCCAGCGTGCATACAAGTAACATTATATGGAATCAGCAGGTTGTATTTGAGAATATGTATATATACACAAATACATATATGTATGCAGTAACAATTGATGAAAAAGGAAGCCATGAATTTGAAGGACAGTGAGGAGGGGTAAATGGGAGGGTGTGTAGGGGGGAATGGAAGGGAGAAATGTCATAATTAAATTGCAGTCTCAAAAATACACCCCAAAGAAATACAGTAAACATTGGGTGAATATACCAAAATGTCATTTTTCAGGATAAAACCCAAAGTACTCAGCTCAGCTCTACCAGCCTCTAAACCTAGTCCTTGTTTATGTTGTCTTTGAAGCTCATAGATCAACACCCTCTCATCCTACTATCTATCCTCCATTCCAGCAATTCCTTTTTTCATTGTTGCTTTTGAGACCTGGCCTCCTCAGTCCATACACTGGCCTCAAACTAGCTGTGGTCAAGAATGACCTCCAACTCTTGATCTCTCCACTTCCAGCTCCGAAGTGCTGGGGTTTGGGGCATGTGCAGGCAAGCTCAGCTGTTACTGTTTTTCACATGTAGCGCCTCCTCACCTTCCTCCTTGCTTTTCCTTGTGTTCCTTCCTCCTCTCAGAATACTCCCTATCAACCCTCTTCTTTTGGTCCCAAACCACTCACTAGTAAGGTTCAGCTCAGAGGTCCCATCCCCTAGGAAGTCTATCTTAAATCCTGAAGGTTAGGTTAGTGCCCTCCTCTTTGCTCCCACAACTTCCCCAGGTACTCTGCTTCTTAATCTTTGATGTCACCTGATATCGTTGTTTGTGTCCACTATTATTTGTGTCTCTGATTTCCCTAACTAAACTAGAGCCCAGTGAATCTATGGGCTGTTTCCTATTCATTTGTGACCCTGGTATAGAGCCTGGTAGGAAAGTGTAGACACTCATGCTGACTACTTACCCACAAAGTTTTCCATCATCTGAGGGCTGTGGTGGGGGGAGGGTGCCAAGCGCAGCAGCTCCTCACCCCGAGGCACAGTTGGGTAGTTGATGGCCTGCACATAGATGCTGTGCTTGGAGAGCAGGAGATCACAGAGCTTGCTGTTGAGTGCCGCATCACCTACCTGGGCTCAAAAGAAAGGCCTTTCAGTACCACTCACCCTGGGCCACCATTGCACACTAGCTCCATTAAGGAGGTGGAGGGAACCAGATCAAGGAACACTGAATTTGGGGACAGATTGTTTTTTCATAAAGGGCCTAGGCAGTGGCAGCTCCAGAATCTCTATCACAGGGAGACCAGAGCCAGCAATGAGATTTGAAGGAGGGATAGAACTGGTATCTTGTCTTGATACTCTTTGTACAACAAGCGTGTTGGTTAAATTGGCGTGGTTGGAAAGCCAGGGTACCTCTGGGCTGCTGTCACTAGGTTAATTTAAAAATTAGACAGTTAAACAGAGTGACTCTAGTTGGTCCTCTGTATCTCTGTTCTTCATTCAAGTATTCACCCAGCCTCAGATTAAAAAGAAAACATTCAAATATCTAATTTATGGACTCTCCTTGTTGATACTTCCCAGACAATACAGTTTAGTGGCTAAGTAGTTTTTGTTTGAATTTGGTATTATTGGTGATCTAGAGAAGATTAAATGTATCTTGGAGGACTGAGTAGATTATATGGAAATGTAACACTGTTTTGTACAAACTGATGAGAACATTTACGGATTATGATATGGACCGGTGATATGAGCCGTGGGCAGGGCTGGAACCAATCCTTCATGGTTACTATTCTTTCCTTCTCATCCACAAAATTGTCACAAGAAGTGTCCTTCTTACACCCTGACTTAACTGACTCACATAAATAGATGTCCTTTAAGAAAGGAGCAGTGGTTGATTTTAGAAGTAGGAAACATTTAAACACAGCTAGGGATCCAAAGTACCAGCTATTTCTATGGCTTTGTTTTTTAACCTCAATTGTTAGTAACAAGTATGTTTTACAGTATAATCAGGTGTGAGTATATACAAACCTGAACAAATTGGCAGCTTTTACTGTGTGTTGTATGCTCCAACATTTTCTATTCTGTATTTCCCGATTTTTAGTGCTAAGTATAACCCACTAAACTGATTTTATGATCCACTGACAGTTTTTATAAACAACTTAAAAAACACTAAATTATAAGCTCAATATTGTGAGGATCAGAGCAGTTTAGTAGTAGTGGGGCAATGATTGATGCAAAAAAGATAGGTTAATCTATATTGGCTAATTTTTCAAAACAGGCAGCAAAGTCTATATTTGTGGGGGAGGGTCATAAGAAAGCAAAATGTTGATTGAAAGGGCAGGAAGCAGTTTACTGGAAATAGGAAGGCTCCCGGAAAGGGGGGTGGGGAAGGCAGGGGGCATGATGGGTTTCTTACCCTGATGGGGATGATGTGGCTGGGGCAGGGGATGACGGGAAAGCCCCTGTCCATTAGTAGCTGGCGCATATGCTTGACATTGCGCTGGTGTGCCCGCCTCAGGGCTTGCCCCTCCTCTCCCTTGAGTAGACGCACAGATTCTAGAGCCCCAGAGAGCACCATTGGAGGCAGTGAAGTGGTAAAGATGAAGCCTGCAGCATAGGAGCGCACCATGTCCACCAAGTCCCGAGTGCTGGCGATATAGCCACCGACGCAGCCGAAGGCCTTGCCTACAACCAAGTAATACAAGTTATGCATAGACCTGATGATCAGACCCCAGAGAGGCAGGGTAAGGCCCCAGGTAACACAGGCAGGTACACTTCCTTCCCAGTCCACTGTGCATCTCTCCTGTGCGTGTCAGAGTTGATAGTTCTGTGGTTCTGAGATAGGACTGCCACATACTGCCATATGTGCTGACTAGATAGGCAGGAGCAGGGTGGGGACCTTTAGTTGGTTACGGCCTAGAGAATAACTAAGATGAGACTTGGGGCTGGTGTTGGGAGGGAAACAGTTTTCTTATTCTAGCTGAGTCCAGCTGTTTGGTCCATTTCAGGAACCTTTTAGAAAAACTTATCCAGAATTTCTCAGTGACTGTACAATGCAATGGGAAAGAGATGATTTGGTAGGACAAAAGCCTGGGATAATAAGTTCTTTCCAAACAACCCCTGTAGCTGTAAACAGGAAGAAGAAATAGGTCTGATGGAGGCCACTTCTCTAGATTGCATCTAAGGGAGGCCCAAAGTGTTTGCTCACTGCTGGCTAGTTTTATGTCAACTTGACGCAAGCAAGAGTCAGCTGAGAGGAGCGACCCTCAATTGGGAAAATGCCTCCATAAGACTGGGCTGTAGGCACGTCTGTAGAGCAGTTTCTTAATCAGTGATTTTGGGTAATGCCACCCTGGGCTAGTAGTCCTGGGTTCTATAAGAAAGCAGGCTAAAGAAGCCATGAGGAGCAAGCCAGTAAGCAGCCCCCCTCCATGGCTTCTGCATGAGCTCTTGCCTCTAGGTTTTCACCTGGTTTGAGTTCCTGCTCTGGCTTACCTCTTCCTGCCTTGGATTCTCTCAGTGGACTGGTTCGGGATATGTAAGCCAAATCAACCCTTTCCTCCCCAAGTTGCTGTTGGTCATGGGGTTTCATCACAGCAACAGTAACCCTAACTAAGACACTCACCAAGAGTTCCAGAGATGATGTCAAGCTTGTGCATAATTCCATCACGCTCCCCAATCCCTGCACCCCGGGTTCCATACAGTCCTACAGCATGGACTTCATCCACGAAGGTCAGGGCCCCATACTGGTGGGCCACATCACACAGTTCCTCCAGAGGACAGATGGCACCTGAGAAAAGCCCAGGGAAAGGAGTGGGAAATCATAACCCTTCCCCAGCTCCATTTCCTATATGGAATTGACTGTTTTCTCATTTAAGCCTACTCTGACTTAGAAAAAGGTGTTGTAGACAAGGGGGAAGGTGTCTGCCCTCATTTGGGAGTATTCCAAGCATCAACCATTTGAACCCCACTCATACCCCAGTTCTTTGTGATTGTGTTCACCCCCACCCTGTGTATTTCCCCATTCTGTCATTATTTTTACTTCATTTTGACAATTTTGTTTCTATCATTTGTAGCCTCTCTGCTGCCCCCATCACTTCTGGGATTATACATTTCTATCTAGAGGTGGCAGTCACTATATTATACCTGTGTTTAACTTGAAAAACACCATGTTCTGCTCGAATTTACTATAGCCCTCCCTTGAGAGCTGCTCGCCCCCTTGGCCAGCTACAGTTGATAACCTATCAACATCAGTATTCTTCACTGGCCCTCCTTGTGTCTGTCTGTTTGGATTTCTGTCACTGTCTTCTTTGGTGTCCATGCTTGTTTCTGTTTCTCTGTCTCTGCCTTTCTTCTCTTCTCCCTCTGCTCTAGCTCCTTACTTTCTCACCTTTTCCTCAGTGTGTTCCTTTCTTCTGCTTGCTTTCTCTGTACCCTTGTGTTTCATTCCAAGTTCCTTTATGTTTCTGCTTTATTGAGTTTTCGGGTCTCTGTGAGGGTGGTTTTTCTCTGAGGAACCTCTTCCTCAGGTTCTGTCACAATGTATCTAATTAGAAGCTATGTCATAGTCTTCCATTTTCCATACCTATTTAGTATTTTTCGTGCTATTTTAGATGTCATCTGAATAGACTTTGTGGCCATTCTTAATTTTCTAAGACCATACAACTTCTGCTATCCCTCTGCTCCCTGGAAATTGCTGAGGTAAAGAAAATTGGAATACAGAAGAAACTTTTTCAGATGGAAACAGGGGCCCTGGACCAGGAATAAAACCTATAATGGGGGAAAAGGTAGCAAACCATAAGGACAACCAACAACAGGAGATGGAACTTGAGACAAGACAGTTGTGATGATTCTGGTATCATTTCAGAAGCAGAAATTCACCTCTAGACTTGACAGGTTAGGCAGTTTCCACCAGGAAAATAAGGAGCGGTTCATTTGCAAGCAGAACCAGTGTGATTGCAGCCATAACTTTCACTAGGAAAACTGAATAGTTGTTCCATGTTAAAAATATGCAAGTGTGCTGGTTTTACTTTCCTCATGGTTGTAGAAATGTGCTCATGGGCATGACAGTGAGCACCTTGTGTGTGTGAATTCATGTAGTGTTCAGGGATATTCTTGTATCATTACCGGCATTTTGCAAATCAACTAACTGCAATACAAGGCAACTCTGAAAACTCGCACTAGGGGCTGGTAAAGTAGCTGAGCAGGTGACAGTGCCTGCTGCACAGCTTGGTGACATTTCCAGAACCTGATAGATTTCCACAACCAAGATGGAAGGAGTGAACCAACTTCACAGAGTTGTCCTCTGACCTCCACACGTGTGCTGTGTCATGGGTGCCCACATACAAATGCATAATACATACATAATAATAGATACATCTTTTTAAAAAACTGTCTCAAGCTAATAGTTATGCTAGTATTTGAACATGGACAGTTTGTGATTGCATGATATTTATGGTGCTTGTGGTTGTATAAATCAGGGAATACCAAGGATCCTCTCTTGTTTCACTTGGAAAAGTGGCACCTTGACACGAAATGAGGACCTCTTCCTTTAAGTAAATCCGGAAACAGATACCTAAACACATGACTTCTGGTGCACAGCTCTGGGCATCATTTCAGTTGTATAAGAAAGGAGGGCAGAATAAAGTCATTCATTTCTGTTAAAGTGTAATAAATGGAATGACTTCCATCACCTACAATTCTACAACCAGACATTTTACCCTGGAGAAAACTGGGGCTCAGAGAGTTTGAAAGTTCCCCAAGTTCACACAGATATTATATATCAAAGGTGGGAGTTAAATCCAAATACTGTCTGACTCCAGCGTTTCCTAGTGGACCATGGAATCCTAGGCAGGAGTCGGTAAAATTTGCCCCTGTAGAGAGCAGACACTGCCATGACTGACTTACATATCATTCCTTATGGAAAGAGTGTCATGCAGGGAAATAGAGTTATTTGTGTAGCCTAGTAAGAAAATAATCACTTTGCCATCAACTTGATAAGGCACTGAAACAAACTTTGATGCTGTTTGTGGACTTTAGTTTCTTTATGTATAAGAATGTAATAGCTTGTACAATCCTTCCTCCCAAAAGAAAACCCACAGAATCAACTAACCTGGCCTCATAGGAGCTCACAAAGTTTGAACCAACAACCAGGGAGCCTGCATGGGACCGACTTAGGCACTCTGCATGCATGTGCCAAGTTATGTAGCTTGCTCTACTTATAGGACTAAGAGTGGGAGCAGGGGCTGTCCCCAGTGCTTTGGCTGACTTTTGGGAACCTATTCCTCGTACTGGGTTGCCTTGCCCAGCCTTAATACAAGGGGAGGTGCTTAGTCTTACTGCAACTTGATATACCATGTTTGGTTGATAACCATTAGAGGCCTGCCTTTTTCTGAACAGAAATGGAGGAGGAGTAGATTGGGGGAGGCAGAAGGGAAGTAAAAGGAGGGAATGAGAGGAAAGCGGGGTGGGAAACTGGGGTTGGGATATAAAATAAATAAATAAATTTGGTTAATGAAAAAAGAATGTAATAACTGCCTCTCCTTTGGCATTTGCTACTTGTATGACCTGTGGCTTCACTTGTTCATGTCTCAGTTTCTTCATGCAACAACAATAACAACAACAATAATAATAATAGAACCTACTTCATAGACTCATCATGAGGATTTAGTAAATTAGTACATGTAAACTATGAATAACTGCATAACATACTAAACACCATATAAATGTTAGTTGTTATTATCTTCATGTTTTTGTGAGATAGCAATACTAGTCAACGTGCTCTCAAACACATACATACATACCATCCATGGAGTGAACAGTCTCAAAGGCCACAATTTTGGGTGTCTTGGGATTAGACTTCTCAAGAAGTTTCTTCAGGTGGTCTGGGTCATTGTGCCTGAAGACAAACTTGGCTACACCACTATTGCGAATACCTTGGATCATGGAAGCATGATTGCCTGCATCGGAGTAGATCTCGCACCCTGAGGAAATAGATGTGTAATTGTTAAGCTTCTGTCTCAGTACTCCCACTTTACACTCCGTGTGTGGCCTGGCAGAAGAAAGACTAACCCCTTTCCCCTCTGAAGACCTGCTCTTCTTCCTCCTCCTGGGTTAACCTTTGTGACACACCTCTTCCTCCCTTGTCACAACTCCCCTGCCCAGGCACTCTTACACTCCTCCCTCCAAGGACGCGTAGCCATGACCTCTGACTATCTTGAGGGGAAAGAAAATTAAATTTCCCAGGCATCTTAAGTCTCTCAATGACAGGGTTTAGGTTCATTCTCCTTGACACTTGGAAAATCAAAGCTTGAAAAAGGATTCACAGAGAAAGTTTATAGACTTGGACTGACGCTACTAGGTTCTCGCTGGACCCCTTGACACTTCACCTTTTCCAGGTAGCACCCATCTGTTTATATTACAGGGAAGGATGCTTATCAGGTTTCACTGTTAGACTCATTCGCAGCAAAAAGAGCACAGAATGACCGGGTGACAAGCTCAGCACCACAAAAGGGTTTTCTTCAGGACAGGAGTACAGAGAGTCTTACGAGGCTACACTGGGAGGGTAGGAAGGTGTGGAATGTGGGGAAGGGATTTATCTGTTCCATAGAACCCTCAGATTTCACAGACACCAAGGAATTGTGGTCTTTAATAAAATAAGGAACAACTTCTATTTGAGAAAAATGAAGCATGGTTTCTTCCAGGACTTGGCTTGCCTAGCTAGAAGTTTCTTGAGAGCAAAGCCCAAACATTTTTATCTTTATATCCCTTTGTTCCCAGTATAAGGTACATATATTGCTAAGGAAACATTTTTAATGACTAATAACTAATTTATAAATGGGTGAAAGAGTAAGAGAGATGTCAAAAGATGAGATTTAAAAGATATATGTGTGATAGAATTCAGTTTTTGTTTTTTGAGTTAGAGTCTCATTCTGTAACCCAGACTAGCCTGTAATCCACTATGTAGTAGTCCTTTGGACTCAGCCTTCCAAATACTATGATTGCAGATGTAGATCCATGCCCTTCTTAAGATTTGGTTTAGTTAGAAGCCATGATGTAGAGTTTACATTTGATCCTAGGGCCAAGAGGGATCCATTAAAGAGTTTTAAACAGGAAAAGGACAGAGATAGATTATATAATGAAACGTTGTTTTGAAGGTGAGTTGGCAAAATTGTCTCAGGGACTTGAGAAGCGAGTAGAGGTTAAGGAATGTGGCAATTTAGTGGCCTCTCTCTGAGCACTTAGATGAGCCCAGGATTGACATAGATGTGGAGCATTGGATCCATCTGAGATTCAGACTGATAGAAGGCATATGCGGGATGACATAACTGGAGGTGGGAAGATGGGAAGAAGGGCTCTAGTGCATAGTTGAAGGGGTGCCTTCAGCAAAAGGGTATATTTCACGGTAAAGTGAAACAGTGAAGAAATGTCGATGAACAGATAGATTCAGAGGTTGCATGTCAATAAGTAAGGAAAAGCTATCTAGTGATTTCTGTATTATTTGTGTAAGACCTGGGTTATTTGTTAGAGTGAAGGATGCAGGTAAAGGTTTCAGAGAAAAGTATTTTTAAATCTCATGGAGACAAAAGACTGTGTATTAGAAATGATGATTTTATGGTGTTACCGTTCTGTGAGGTTAGGCACTGTTGTTCTCTTGGTGCTGGCCCTCAACCTAGTGTGGTAGGAGTGAAAGCAGAGGGATGTAATCATCCACTGTTAAGACTATGCATGGCGAGTGAAAGGGAAGAGCAGAGGAAGCAAGTGAACTCAATAGAGGGGCCGCAAGTGAGACTGGATGCTCTATTGCAGGACACCAGCCTTGAACAAATCTCAGACCTTGTGCTCACCTGGCAGAAGCTTGGCCAGTGTAAAGAGAGTAGAATCGTTCGCCACAAAACAGGAGGAGAAGAGCAGGGCTGAGTCCTTCCGGTGCAGTTCAGCCAGCTCCTGTTCAAGTTCTACATGAAACTTGCTGGTACCGGAGATATTGCGAGTACCACCAGCTCCAGCTCCATGATTCTGCAGGGTCTCCCTGGCCCCAAGAAAACAGAAGAACAAAAACAAAAACAAAACCTTGTTAAGCACTGAGCAAATATGAAACCCCTCCTTAATGTGATCAGTGCTAATTTAAGTAGTCCTGTGTAAATGGTGTCCTGAGTAAGTGGTTCTTAACCTGCCTAATGCTGAGACCCCTTAATACAGTTCCTCATGTTGTGGTGACCCCTAACCATAAAATTATTGTCATTGCTTCTTCATAACTGTAATTTTGCTACTGTTATAATTTGCAATGTAAATGGATATGGAGGATGGTTATAGGCGAAACCTGTAAAAGGGTCGTTCAAGCCCCAAAGGAGTCATGACCCACAGGTTGAGAAGCACAAAAGTAGGGAAAAAATGAGAAAGATAGAGATGGAAGTAGAAACCAGATATAGCCTGGTGGTGGTGGTGGCGCACACCTTTAATCCCAGCATTCGGGAGGCAGAGGCAGACGGATCTCTGTGAGTTTGAGGCCAGCCTGGTCTACAGAGTGAGTTCCAGGACAAGGAGGGCTGTTACACAGAGAAACCCTGTCTAAGTCCCCAACCCCAAAAAGAAACTAGATATAGCTTGAATAGTTTAGAAAAGCTAAAGGAAGTCCTGTCTCTCTTGTCCCCTGCCCCCCTCCCACACCATTCTATACTTCGGTTTCTGGTTTATGGAATCAGGGAGCCTTTCTTGATTTCCATTATCGTCCTGCACAGCAAACATAGTAGTTGAGAAACTGTGATGTGTTGACTGATTTAGTTTGCATCTGAGGACTAGATATACTGGGGAGACCTTGTACAGAAGAGATGGTGGTGGGATTAAGGTGTCCACTGCTAGTGTGGCTCTCGATCTTTAGATGTGTCCCACAGCTCATAGTGCACACTCTACTACTCACTGTATGGCCTGCAAGACACGAGGGTGCCTGCTTACGCCCAAATAGTCATTACTACACCAGACTGAAACATCCTTGGAGGCCATAGATGCCTCGGAGAAGTGTTGGGCAAAGGGGTAGGCATCAGCCCAGCGATTCACAGTCTTGAACACACGGTAGGTGTGGTCCTTTTTCTTCTCCATGATCTTGTCTCTGAAAAACTGATCATAACCGAAGACCTGGCTTCCTGAAGGAATAGAAATAGAGATAAGAATAATTCAATTCAAATCTCTTCCTGACTAGTCTTTATTTTACTCATGTTGTTGATTTTGAGTTTTCTAATTCTCTTCCCATGTATTATCATTTATTTGCTCAACAATATCTTACTGGTTCTCATTAATTCTCCTTTTTCTTCTATTGTTTAATATGATATACCTATATGCCTGTGTGTATGCAAACCTTCAGGTGTGTTCATGCTATGATGCATGTGTGGAATTCAGAGAACAGCTACAGACGCTCTTTCCACTCTGTTTGAGACAGGATCTCTGGTTCACGATGGCATGCAGCAGACTAGCTGGCCCTTCAGCTTCTAAGGATTTTCCTGTCTCTGCCTTCCATCTTTCCCCAGGACCATGCTGAGATTATCAACACGTGTGCTGCATTTGACTTTCATATGGGTTGTGTGCACTCAAATGCAGGTTGTTGTGCTTGCACAGCAGGCATTTTACCCACGGAGCTCACCCAGCCCTGGTTCCCACTATTTCATTCAACCATCCCTTTGCTTACTCACTCATTGACTCAATAAGTCATTCACAGATTTAGTCACGCTTTCCACTCTTAGCATGGCCTCATCTTTCTTTCCAGAGTTAGTGTGGAAGATGCCTTCCAGGAGTGACTACTTCAGTCTCAGAGAAGGAAATATTGCTAGATCTAGTTTTTACTCATGTCTCCTCACCTGATAGCTATGTGACTCTAAGCCAGCAAAGAATCTTCTCTACTGCAAAAAGTAAACACAAAACCCCCCCACATATCTTCCAGTTGGTAAATGGGCTGGTGAATTGAATAGACAATTCTCAAAAATTCAAATGGATACTAAATACTTTCCATCCTTAGCCACCAGGGAGATGGCAGATTTAAACTACTTTTCAATTCCATCTCACTTCAGTCAGAATGGCTATTGTCAGGAAAACAAATGACAACAAATTTTGGCAAGTGTGCAGTCAAAGAGGAACTCTTATACCCTAAGGGTGGGCATGTAAGCTGGTACAGCAACTATGGAAATCAGTATGGAAGTTCCTCTGAAAAGTAACAGGGGTTAGAGAGATGACTCAGCAGCTTGTGCTGCTCTTGTAGAGGACCCTCCATCAAGTGTTCAGCAACCACATCAAAAGTGGCTCACAACGTCCTGTAACGCCAGCTCCAGGGGATCCGAAATATCTGGCTTCCAAGGGCACTATCACACAGGTGCATGCACACGCAAATCATGCATGCATGCATGGTTTAAAAATGATAAAAATAAAACTTCAGAAGAATCGATTAAAAATAGGACTACTATGTGACGTATCACTCCTGAGCATAAACCCAAATGACTCTAAGTCAGCATACCACAAAGATACTTGCACATCCATGTTATAGCTACACTGTGCACAATCGCTAGCAAATAGAACCAGCCATCAACAAATGAATGGATAATGAAGATGTGGTACATATAAAACTATATAATTTTGTGCAGCTATAAAAAATGAAATTATGATATTTGATGGAAAATAGATAGAGCTGAAAATCATTATGTTAAACAATATAAGCCAGACAGAATGAAAAATGTTCCATATGTTCTCTCATATATATGTGGGCCCTAAATTTAAAGTTGTGTATATAGTGTATGTGTTTGTACATGTGTATTTGTAGGTCAAAAGCTAGAAAGAGGACCATAGGTGGAGGAACAGATCTTAAGGGAAGTAGGAAGTAGAGAAGGCAATAGAATACATGTAATAGGAAAGCAAAAAGAGAGAGCCAACTAGTAAAAAAGGGGAGCCAGGTAAGGGAGGAACAAATGAGAATGAAATATAATAACACATATGTATGATGATGCCATGCGAAACCCATTACTTGGTATGCCAGCCAAAAGAACTCAATTTTTAAAAATCTTTAAAATTCTTTCTTTTTGAAAGGATCCTTTTTTTGTTTTAATATCCTCATATGTAGAATGGAGCTTAGAATTCTTTCCCTGCTTAGTTGTGAGAATCCTATGACAACACTATTTTGTATATGGTAATGAAAGTATCAGAAGTATAATAATAATACTGGTTGTAATTAAAAATAGCTAGTATTTTGTTATATTATCATAGCCAGCACGAATGGATGCCTAAAACATGTAAAACTTACTTCCAGGAGCCTTAAAGATGTTATTTCATTGATTTCTCACATCAACACCATATGGAAAGTTCTAATAGTCTCTGTATTTTCCATTTGAAGGAACTCAGGCATGAAAAGATCAGCTAACTTGACCAAGGTTATATAGCAATTAAATGCCCAGCAAGTAAGTGACGCATTGGTTTAAATAATGAAAAAGGTAAAACCGTGAATTGTCTTTGGGTATATTCATATGGATGTAAAACTAGCATGCAGTCTAATTGGAAGAATACAAAAGCAATAGAAACAACCTGAATTATAGGTTCTTGATGAAATGAATAATGATACAGCCACACTACAAAACACACTTCGGCCATTAATAATTGTTATGCAGCTCTGTGTGTGTGTGTGTGTGTGTGTGTGTGTGTGTGTGTGTGTGTGTGTGTGTGTGTGTGTGTATAGCCATAGGAAGGTGTGCCTGGGAGAAAATACAACAAAAAGTTAATGGGAGATGGTAATTTACCCTTTATTTTCCTGTATCACTTAAAAATAATTCCTTATTCCTATATTAGAAAAATGAATCAAATTCCATTATGAAAAAATGGATATTGGAGATGGAAAGGGAATTTGTGAAGGGTGAGAAACTTTGAGGGAAATATGGAAAAGAAATAATGGAGGTAAGCCTAATTTTTAATGAGACCTCGTAATAAGCTAGAAATACTACATTAGTATAAGTGTGATTTTATTTTTCCTTATAAACAATTGAGGTAAGTGTTTGAATGAAGTGACTTAGTTACGAAAGCCATGATCCAGCAGCACCAGCACTAAAGCTTAATTTTAAAGTCTCTTTGGTTTAAAATCTTACCATTTCCTATCCTGTCCTATGTCATACACCCTTTCAGTAGCTACTTCCTGTTCCCAAGCCCTTTATTTCCATCTTGGCAAACTCACCAGTCATGTTGTTCTGAATCAGGTGTGTAATTGCCCCTTCAATCTGCTCTGGATCCTGGAAACTAGGGAATGGTTGGCTTGGGATGGTTGAATCCAAGGAGCTCAGCAGGTCTGAGAGGGAATATGGAATTCATTGGCATGAAGAGAGAAAAAAGAAAGTATTTGTTGTCCTCTTTAGGTTCAGTGTAATGTATAGAAATTCAAGTTTAGGAAGTATAGACGCCTCCTGGAGAATGTTTTTGCAGAGTAAGCTTTCACTCATCTCTACAAGTAGCAACTCCTAGAATGTCCAGAACCTTCTATAAGGTGACTCACACTTGCCACTGAGAGTTCCCTTTGCATAAGGTAACCAGGAAAGGCCCCCTGGGCCCTGCACTTGAGAGGTTGGTGCATTTTAGTCTTCTGAACATCATTAAATTTTCATCTTTGCCGGGCGGTGGTGGCGCACGCCTTTAATCCCAGCACTCGGGAGGCAGAGCCAGGCGAATCTCTGTGAGTTCGAGGCCAGCCTGGCCTACCAAGTGAGTTCCAGGAGAGGCGCAAGGCTACACAGAGAAACCCTGTCTCGAAAAACCAAAAAAAAAAAAAAAAAAAAAAAAAAAAAAAAAAAAAAAAAAAAAATTTCATCTTTAACTTTTTTGTTCTTAGTGATAACTCGAAGTGGTCTGTGAAAGATGTCAATAGGATGGCCGTCCCTTAAGTGTAATAGTCTTGGATGCTCTGGCCAGGTTGTCCTTGAACTCTATACCCTTATAAAGAATGATTTATTGACAACAAAACTTTATTTGAATTTGTTTTAATAAAATTGATAATTCAAAATACTTTTCAGGGAGTAAAGGCTAATTACTGGACTGCATTGTGTGAAAGCTAAAGGATGTATCTATTCTTTAGCCCTTTCCTTCATACAAACCTAGACTCTCATAATATGGTCCTTCTAAATTTGGGATTCCAGCCTTTTGGATTCCATTTAGCTGCCTGGGAGAGAGGAGGGCCCATTTTAGACTGACAGCTAAAAGTTATGGGAGTTTGCATGTGTATGTGTTGAGGTGGATGCACTTCAGTGCCTGGTCTAATCAACTGCCTATTCTGGCTCCCATGCAAAAGGCTCGGAGTGCCCATCCTAGAATGTATACTAGCTTCCCTTGGATTTGCTTAGCTCAAGAATATGATAAAGTGGGATCAATATTTAGGAACAGAGGTTGGATAGGGTGGAGGTTGACTCCAACCTGTCTTGAAAGTCTTGACATCCTCTTGGACTTCTGGAGCTGCCTTCTGCACAATCTTGCTCTTCCCATCTTGGAGTTCTGACATCATGAAAGGACAATGGCTCTTGGCCCAAGATGGAGAGTCTAACAAAGGTAAGAGAGTAATTGGAGGTTCATTCTTAGTTATACATTGTACTTAGCCATGGTTATTGGGTCTTAATGAATCCCAGAGTCCTATTATAGGCTATGATAGAGACAAGGAGTTAAATAAATCTGGTCTTATTGCTGGCAAAATTTCTAAGCAGGGAGAAGTAGCACACACTACCAGCACCTTGGGAACAGTGGAATGGGAGAAACAACAGGACAAATGAAATCTAGACAATATAAAGGATGAGACGAAAAGTTGGTACTGGATAGGCTAGGGACTAGGCAGGCTTTGCAGAAGCAATAATGCCCAAATTCAGTTTTGAATGAGAGGTATGGGAGGAGATAATAGTATAGGAGAAGGTCATAGGTCAAATGCAAACTCAAGGAATCATAGGCCAAGAAAATTGATTTGAGCAATTTTAATCTCTTTCAGCATGGATGAAGTATAGTGTGTGAAGAACATGAAAATAAGACTATAGCAGTGGTTCTCAACCTGTGGGTCACAACCCTTTGCGGGCATATCAGATATCCTGTATATCAGGTATTTACATTACAATTCATTGGTACTTTTGTGTGACTCCTAACAGTGGGAACAGGGGCTCTCTGACTCTTACTGGCTTTTGGGACCCTACTCCTCATACTGGGTCACCTTGCCTACCTTAATACAAGTGCTTAGTCTTACTGCAACTTGATATGCCATGCTTTATCTATATCCAAAGGAGACCTGCCCTTTCCTAAACAGAAACAGGGAAGAGGAGTAGATTGAGGGTGGGAACAGAGGGGTGTGGGGGGAGGGACATGGAGGAGAAGAGGGAGGGGAAACTGCAGCTGGGTTGTAAAATAAATTTATTAGTAAAAATTCATAACAGTAATAAAATTATAGTTATGAAGTAGCAATGAAGATAATTTTATGATTGGGGTTATCATGACATGTTATGGTTGGGGGTCACCATGACATCAGTAGCTGTATTAAAGGGTCACAGCATTAGGAAAGTTGAGAACCCCTGCTCTAGAAAGACCCTGGCAAAAGACACAGCCTGGGTATATTTTCTTAGGTCATTTCATTCTGTCTTGACATTTTTCATACTAACTCTCCAAGCTCTTAAGGAATGATATCAGACCTGGACCCTTGTCTTTATGACCCCGACATTCGCTTTTGCCAATGACCTCTTCTTACCTCCTCCAGCCTTGGTTGCCTTAAGGTGGATTTGAGAGCAGGTTGGTCCATAGGTGGCCAGGATGGGGCAGCGTCCAATACCAAATAGAAACTGGTAAGTCTTAGCCGCTTTGCCTAGGACGCCTGTGGGGCCCCGAGAGAGCACTGGGCAGGACCGTAGCAACACAGCTGCTGCCACCATCTTGAGCCCAAAGTCCTGTAGAAATTGTGGAAGAGGTGAGATTTCATCATGAGGGCCTGGCCAAAAGCCAGGTAACTCATGCCTGTGGTTAATTCTCTGCTTTAGTTTCCCACTCCGTTTGCTGCCTTTCTCAGAGGCCCTCTTGTTATCCTTCTCAGAAAGGACCCCTGATGTTTAAATGGGAGGGAGAAATGAGAAACACCCTAGATAAAGGGGCAAGGGAGAGACTTCTAAACAGGCCAGAAAGCCTGGATTCTGACTCACTCTGCCACCAGCTGCTCAGGGATCCTGAGCATCATTGACATGCCTCTGGGAATGGCAGAATGACACCTGACAATCAACCTTTGATCCACACTTGAAGCCACTGTCTTCCCAAGACTATTATCCTCAGCAAGGTGGGATGGCACACACCTTTAATCCCAGCACTTGGGAGGCAGAGGCATGCCCATCTCTGTGAGTTCAAGACCAGCCTGATCTACAAAGTGGGTTCCAGGACAGCCAGGGTGACACAGAGAAACCCTCTCAAAACACAAAACAAACAAACAAACAAAAGACTCTTATCCTGAACCAAATGAAACTTTGGCCTGCTAATGCAAACAGATCCCATTCGCCAGAGCTCCTGAGGATGGATAGTCCTGCTGTGTCCTGAGAATGTTCTACCAACGAGGGAGAAGGAGCCTGAAGCCAGCTGTCAACTTAAGGAGATCCAGGAAACAGGAAAGCGCAGGCATGCACCCAACAGGCTGTGTACCACCAGGTTGGTATTTTTATATATTTGAATTTTCTCCTGACTTTTGGTTAAACACAGATAAAGGCAGAGGTGAAAATAAGACCCAAGAAGGCTGAAAGACATAATCTGTGTAGGTCAATGATGAAGACAGAGGCCAAGGTAAAGAAAGATAGGGGGAAATCCATAGAAAAAGACAAAGCAGGTGACATATGTCTGTCAGGGAGCATTGTCTGAATGTTGGAGTAAGTTAATGAACAGGTATGATCTTCAGTAGAGAGAGAAGGGAAGTAGGGATGAATCAAGACAACTTCAGAAAGATAAAAGAAGAAAGAAAGGTGGAGGAGGAGGAAGACCAGAAACTGGGGAAGAGAAAGCCTTCACAGCTTGAAGGAAGGGCACAGGGTAGACATAAAAACAATGGAGAGGAAGACTGGTACTGAAAGACAAGACAAGAGGATGATGGGCAACCAGGAAACAGGGAGAGATAAGAAGCCAAGAGAAAGAGAAGCAGGGAATGTACCAGCAGGGACAAACAGAGGGACACAAAGGGGCTGTCACGTAGCAGGAGAGGGGACTCTAGCAAGGGCAGAGTGGGACACCAAGATAAAGGGGGAGGGTTAGACAATACAGACTTAGTGGAAGAGGACCATGGCCCTACTGGGGATGCGGGGAGAAACTGGACGAAAAAGAGAAGTGGGTTTGTTAAAATCTCCAAAGATCAAGAGACAGTGATAGGGGCAGAAGAGACAGCTCAGTGCTTAAGAGGGAGTACTGTCTTCCAGGTTTGATCCTGAGCACTCCAGTTGTGTGGCTCACAACTGCCTGTCATTCCAGCTCCAGGAAGTCTGATGCCTCTGGCTTCCACAGGCCTGGCATTCACATATACACACCTCTACACAGATCCACACACACACACATCGAAAATAATAAATCTATGTTTAAAAGGGAAACAGGTAGGTATAGGGGAGGAAGAAGCCTATAAGGAGGTAAGATTGAGAGATAACAAAATGAAAGACAGAGAACAAGAGTGAGAAACAGATTGGAAGAAAAGGAGCCAGTTGGAGAGCCGGGATCAAAGGGTGGACAAGATAAAGACCAGTACAATAGGAGAGATAGGAGGGAAAGTGGGAAGACTGAGGCCCAGTTCTGCCAAGAAAGCTACTGAGTACAATCCAGCAGCCCCTGCAGTGTATAGAGCCTTACTATGTGAGGGACAAGGGAGTACGAGGAACTCATGGCCTATCCTGTCGGTGACTTCCTTCATCTCCCGAATCTCACAGAGCAAGCACCCACCTCTAGCAACCCGGTCATCTTTTCCACCTTAGAACATCCTCCCTGTCTCCCAGGCTTGTCGCAGCAGCCTGAGTTAGTTTGTGGGCCTGGGCATATGGGCCCTGGAATGGTAAAAAGCAGGAAGCTGGTTGGAAGGATTAAATGAAAAAACAAAAACTAAACTAAATACATGTGAACCCTTGAGCATAAAAAGTTTGATTTTCTTATTTAAATTCTGGCTTCCTAGCTTCTTTGTTCAATGTTTTGGGGCAAGGCACTCCTCCTTTCTGGGTCTTGGCTTTGATGAGTTGTCATATGTGAGGTAATTATGCCTACATCACATGGTAGGCCATTGATTGGATCCAGTGCCTACCTCATATCTGGAAATAAGAGTCTCCCTTCTGCCTGCCTGTCTGTGAAGGCTAAAGCACCCAAGGCTGAGCCTGCAGACCATAGATAAAGCCCCCCAGAGTTTATCGCCTCTGGGGTCTGGCCACTCCCTAAGATGAGCCCAGGGCGTGGGAGAGAAGAAGAAACCCTTCCTGGAATCACGTCTGAGCATCTGGCCCAGGCTGGCTCTGGCAATCTGTAGTGAGTCAAGATGGATGAGGTCCTTGCAAGTTTCTACAAATGTCTCCAACATCAATACTGACAACAACAATTGCAACAACATTGAAGTATGTAGTGAGAAGGAAAGGCCTTGAGATTAGAGGCAAAGTACAGTCCTGCCCTGAAATGATGGTGGATTGAGGCTTGCTTCCCATGTAAAAAAAATGAAAAGGTCAAGTATACTTATCTCTATGGAGCTATTGGCCATAATGTACTGAGGGTCCTGGGGAAAATACAGAGTCCTTCTTGACGTGGATTGAATTCTTGAGTTATTTTAAAGCTTCAATTACAACTTCTCTTGTCCCATCCTGATCTTCCTGAACATCATTATGACTTACAACTTTGTAGTGCAGTTACTTTGGACTCTGTGTCCACTGCAGAACACTACTTAATATGAGATGGGAATGACTGAAATTAAATAGAGGAAGCATTTTAAACCATTGAGAGTATTAGGAACATAGACTCTTAGCTGGGCATCTTGACATATACAGGAAGCTGAGACAGGAGGATCCTGAATCCCATGCCTGCCTGGGCTGCATAGTTCCAAGCCAGTCAGGACTTAGTAGCAGATCTTTTCTCAATAGCAAAACATCCACTATGGAGCCAAGGAGTCACATCATGAATATATAAGGCCAAGAATGGAAAGTTGGAGATGAGATTTTTGTCTCACTCTTACTACAGTTTACTATGTGTAAACTTGGGCTCCCCCCTTCAACCTCCCCTACACCTTTTGAACCTTAGTTTCTCCACAGACATTGGATTAGATAGGAAATTTCATAATTTCCCTTCTGGTTCTGATATTCAAATATTAACAGAGCTCTCACTGTTACAAATGCTCTACATTCATTGACTTATTCAGGCCTCAGGACAGTGCTGTGAAACTGAGGCCCCAAAACGGCCAATGACTCATCCAGGTCCCAGAACTGGTAAATGAAAGAAGCAGGCTTTCAACCTAGGCAGTCTGGCTCAAGAGAACCCTAACTTAGCCACTGTGGATCTGTGATCCAAACATTACATATTTTCTTAGCTGAAGGCTGGACTCTAGACACCAAGCCACTCTGCTACACCAATACGGGCCCCTTTACTGTACATTTATCTTTTATGACAAATGCTTCCTCAAATGTTCTAAAGTAGAATTTGAGGTACTATTGAACATTTATTAATTCATTCCATCATTTAATGATTTCTACACCCCAGTGCATAGAAAAGATTGCCAAGTATTCTTAAAACAAAATCAAAGAGATAATGATGAATTTTCCGGCCAAGTGGCATCATTACTCAAAGGTTTTCCCTGCATCTCTCCAGTTCTACAATTTTATGTCAGCACTCCATTTACAGCCCCATAGGCCGGAAAGACCAGCTACAACTCTACCCCTGTGGAAAGACCAGCTACAACTCTACCCCTGTGGAAAGCCAGAAGCCACTCTTAAGCTTTCTTTCCCGTCTCCCGTTACTTGTGGCCTGCTTTTAAGATCATTTCATCTGAAGGAAAGTCCGCTACTTCTTCCAGGAGCTGGCAGCATCTGGCCTTGCCTCCCCTCCTAGTAACCCTCTTTCCTACCACTGGAGAGTCAGAAGAGAATAGAAACAGGATTTAGATCACAAAAGCAAAGCCAAGAGATTGGGGGAAATTGTGGGCAGGCCCCTTTGCTGAATGATAGACGACTTGCCTGGGATCTCACAGTGAAGTAAAACCGAGACATTCCAAGTCTCTTGCCTTTCTGCACAATGACAGCATTCCTCTTCCACCTCCTTCCCTTTATTTCTGCTGATTAGTCAACTTCTCAGTTTCTCCCGTCCTGCCTTACCATTCTTAACCACCCCCAGCAAACCCTCCATTTTTCCTGCCCTAGGTCTGCCTCCCCCCCCCCCCCCCCCCCGCCCCGGCCCCCAAGGCTCTGAAACCTTGAGCTCTGCTCTAGGGCAAGCAGACAGAAAAGGGTCAAGTGGGGGGTGGTGGTGGAGAATTTTGGAAGAAATGTTAAGATGCCTTCTAGAGAGAGAGAGGAGAGGAAGAGAAAGAAAAGACAGAAACAGAAGGAGACTAATAGGGAGAGTTGAGGAAGGAGACAGAAAGGGAGTGGGTACAGAGAAAAGTCCATTGAGGAAAAAGTAGGAGAAAGCATGAATGTCAAAGAGTAAGTGAAGTGAGATGAATGGTATTGAAAACTAACAAAAGAGAGGGGAAAGGAAGGAAAGCCCAAACCAGAAGAGACAGTTTCAGTGAAACTCCAGAGTCAGGTCTAGTCACCCAAAGTCACCATGCAGCAGTGTGGGTGGGAGCCCTGAAAGTCCTGCAAGCAGCTCTTACCTGTTGCCCTGCACTGAGGACGAAGCAAAGACGGTGAGTGCTGCGGGCTAGGACGCCCGGTTTACCCCTGCCTCTGGCTCAGCCCCGCCCACCCCGCCTTCTGCCTTGGCCCTAAGGTGTCTGGTCTCTGCTGAAGATAAAAACCCAAGTAGTCTCCTTTCACTTTATCACTCGCGGTATCCTTTCCCCTTTCTATTTTCTTCCTCTTCTCCCTCATTTGATTTTGAGATCAGATCATCCATATAGAGCCAGGGCACCTTCGGCAGAATCACACCTCTGAACCTTCCCTTCCCTCAGCCATAAAGTGCAGCAGTAAAGTCCAGAAAGGCTAGTAAGTGGAGAGGGTCCTGAAGTCAGACCTAAAATACATGTGCTCTTAAGCGTTCTAGCTGCCAGCCTCCATGGGAAGCCATGTCAGTTCAAAAGATGTTGCATCACTTCAATAAATGTATGAACATTTGGCAGAGTGCCTAGTCATTAATACCAGCTAGTGTTGATTTAGTGTCATTAGGTCATTACTCTGTACCCCACGCTGGTAATTGCTTTACATCGATGACGTAGCCACATAAGAGCCTTAAGACAGAGGCACTGTTATCTCTGTGTTACAGATAAGGAAACTAAGGCTTGGGAGGGGGAAGAAAACCTACTGATAATTACCCAACCAGCAAGTCCATAGCCCAGCTGCAAACTCAGAATGTACAGTTAAAATTTTGGACTTCTCTGTTTTCTAGTACCTCTTCCTTATCCCTTTTAATTTTTTTCTCTCATTTCTTATTCTTCATTCCTTTCTCAAGCCTAGAGCAATGGGACTATGTTATAACTAGGTAATTTCATCTCTGTAGCAAGTTGTTACCATTAATAGTATATACATAAATAAGATGATGTTCAACATACTATGTGCCATTTCCTTTTTCCACATGGCCGTATGCCAATAAACAATGGAGGTCTTTCCATATAAATCCACTGTTTAGTGGAGTTGTCATACTAAGGCATCCAAAGGTATGATAATTCATTTAAACATTCCCTCATTGATGGAAATGTAGAACAGTCCCAGGGGTTCCTTAGGAGTAACAGTGTAATACATAACTTTGAACATTGGTGAAACTCTTCCTACCTGGGCCTGTGAAACGGCGCTGCAGGTAAAAGTGCTTGCAACGCAAGCCTGCTCACCTGGGTTCAGTTCCTGGAAACCATGTCAAGTTGGAAGGAGAGAACCAACTCCACAAAGTTTCCTATGACCTTCACATGTTCTGTAGTTGCCCCTCTCTCCTACACACATATAAAATAAATATAATTTTAAATAATCTCTGCTACAAAAGCATAAAGAGATTTCAATGTTGATATGTCAGTTTGCCCTATACATACGGTATATTTCCCCACCAAGTGGTGAGCGGGGAAGGAGAGGGATACACACACACACACACACACACACACACACACACACACACACACAGGCCAGGGAGAGAATTTACCAGCTCTATTGTCAGATGCATAAATCATTGGTAAAACTGTACATACTAGAAGTACCTATTATCTCTGTTGCTTTCATTGTGTTTCATTATTAATGAGATTGGACATCTTTTCACACATTTCCTGATCATTTGCCTGTTCCTCATCTAAACCACTCAATTTACTTCTTACCCATTTTTGGGATGAGTTGACAGTATAAAGGTATGTGTTCTGGAGTCAAACTCACCCACATTATAGATTATTAGCTATAGCAGTCCTGTATGTAGTAAGTATATTGTCTTAATTAGGGTTTCTGTTGCTGTGATAAAACACAAAGACAACTTGGGAAGGAAAGGATTTATTTCATCTTACACTTCCACATCACAGTCCATCACTGAGGGAGGCCAGGAAAGGAACCCAAGGCAGAAACTGATGCAGAGGCCATGGAGGAGCACTGCTTACTGGCTTGTTCCTCATGGCTTGCTCAGCCTGCTTTCTTATGGCAACCAGAACCACCAGCTCAGGAGTGGCACTGCCCACATTGAGCTCCACCCTCCATCAATCAGAAAATATACCACAGGTTTTTCCACAGGCCAATCTGGTAGCATTTTCTCAGTTGAGGTTCCCTCTTTCAGAATGACTCTAGCTTGTGTCAAATTGACATAAAACTAGCCAGTACATCTATTAAACCTTTTTTCTGTGCTATTTGTTACCCAGTCTGGATTCATTCATTCATTCAATAAATGTTTATTGATTGCCAACCAGTGTAACATTGTGGAGTTGGTGTGCTAAGTGCTGAAAATCCTGCTGCATAGAATTGGAAAATGTGGGTATGTTGTGGTATAGTTAACCATCTTTTAACAATTGAAGATGGTTTCCAATTCTTCTAGAAAGTATCTAAAATAGAGATACTAAAAGTGGGAAAAGGTGCTAGCCACCAAGCCTGACGTCCTGAGTTCAATCCCTGAGAACCCTATGGTAGAAAGAGAAAAACAACTCCTGCAAATTTTCCTCCCTCCTCCTCACATATGCTGTGGCACACATACTCTTTCCCCACACAAAATCAATCAGTCAGTCAATGTACTAAGCAGAACTGTAGTAACTCCAACCTCCAGTGCTTTATCTAACCAACCATTTGCTGCATTGGCTATTGAGTTCAGATTATCACCCTTGAGAAACCCTCCCTAACCCCACACAGGATATGGTCCCTCTTTTATAATATCTTCCCTTCCAGAATTTTATCACATTGTGTACTAGTTGAATTACTTTATGTCTTTCCCCCCATCAGACCCTAAGAAACTAGAGAGGGATCTAAAATCATTAGCAAAAGGGTCTCATAGAAGACTTTGTTGTATTCAGTTGCATTTTTTTTCTAATCTTCTCACCCTATTCTGCCCATGCTCAGGAAAGGACTGGGAGAATAAAACCCACCCAGACTGGCATACCTCCAGTAGTGAAGAGGAAGAATGTTAAGTGACCTCGCGGGAGAACTGGAGCTTCCCAGGTTATTGGGAAGGATGCGTAAGTTGAAACTAAGGTGTTGTGTGGCAGACTGAGAAAGAATACTTTCTGTTGTAATTTATATACCTAATGAAATATCTTACAAGCCCAATATGGTAGTGCATGCCTCTAATCCCAGAAGTCAGGAGACAGAGGCAGGAAGACCTCTCTGAGTTCAAAGCCAGCCTGGTCTACATAGCAAGTTTCAGGATATCTAGTCCTACGTAGTAATACCATGTCTCATATAAAGATATTGGGGGCCTAGAGCAATGGTTCTGTGGGTCAGGTCACTTAGTGTTCTTAAAGAGGACCCAGATTAAATTCCCAGCACCCACATGGTAGATCAAGATCTCCTTTGTACTTTTCCTGCTTCAGGCAAGTGCTTGCTTGAGAATGGGTGGCTTCCTCTCTCCCCTCACTTCCCCTCTCACTCCCTCTCCTCTCTTCCTTTTTGTCCTCCTTCTCTGGTGGTTATGTGATTCTCATCTCCCTCAGAGACCAGGCTGTTTGGGAAACAGACCACATTCTAGTCCCAGATCTCAGTGTGCAGGTGCTCAGGGAATGCTTCTCTAACTCCTTTCCAGAATTCCTGCTCTACTTGAATTAACTTGTTCTGTGTTTTGGTTGATGTCCTACCAGCCTGGGAATTCCTCCAGATTCAGAGTCAGGGTGCCATTCCCATCTGCATTTCTGATACCAGTATGACAAACAGTAGCTGTTCAGATGATGTGTAGTTGAATAGACTTTAGTGATCTGGCTCTTGCAACTCTTTATAGTGCAGTTAGTTGTGCAGCGGTGACTGTCATAGTACTCAAAGTATCGTCTGCGTTTTATGTTATTTTTAGTATGAAATTTCCATAGTTTATAAACCATAAAGTAGACTCATGATAGGGAAAAGGAGGCTTCAAGAGGTGGGGTGTAGAAGACAAGAGAACCATGAGATAGTAAAGTGGAAGGAGAATATTGAGAGTGAAAGGATACGGTGGGGAAATAGAGGGTCAGAGAGATGGGCATGAGTGGAGAATCAATCAAAACAAAGGCTTGTGTTAATGTGTAAGCTAATTTAAAAAACGTTAACTCTTGTTAAATGCACAATTCAATGATTCTTTGAATTGCACAATCACTGCCTCCAATGCACAACTGTTACTGTTGGTTTTTGGAAATGGTGATATTTGTTTAAGGTATATGGACAGTTCAGAAATTAAATTCGTTCTTTCACAGTTTCATACGTATATACCATGCATTCTGACTGCTCTCAGCCCCTGCACTCTTATCTCCCTCCCTCTCCTGTCCACCCCTGCTTCACAACTAATCTCCTTCCCACATTCATGTCTTTGTTTTGTGTCCCTCTAGATATGAACTTCTTCAAGAATCTTATACACGGTATCTGCTATTTCTTTTAAGAGCTGCAGGAGTTAATAATAGTCACTATAGTATATGACAAATCAGAGTTGAGAAAGATACATGGAGCTTTGTTGAGCACTCTGGTGGGTCAGACTCACCATTATCTTTCTCTTTTGTTGGTTGGAATGCCTACCCAGATTCTAGAGTGAATGTCAGCAAGTAGTCGCTATCCTCATGATTCCCTATGATCTTGTTTCAGATGTGCTATAGTTTCTTATTCTTGTGAAATTAGCCTGTGGTTTCTAGGTGAATTTAAATAATACACTTGTAAGATTTGATAGAACAAGTCAGTAAAGTTATTTAATACCCCGGCCATTTGGTGGTGGCAGTTAGGTCACTAACAACTTTCCCCATGAGGCCCTTGATTGTTTATATCTTTACCTCTTCCCTTATCAGTTTTGGCAATTGATGTTCTTAAAGTGCTGTAGAGTCATATTGGGAGTTCATTTTTGATATTTGGTTAGGTATATATGACATTTCAGAGTATAACACTCCCACTCAGAGTGTTGTAAATATTGTTTCATGAGTATATAAACTTGGTATTGCAGCGAAAGTGTTCTATGACAGGCTGAGAAAGAATAATTTCTTCTGTAAGTAATTTATATACCTAATAACAATATCAACCAGGCTTGGTGGCCCACACCTTTCATCTCAGCACTCAGGAGGCAGAGGCAGGCAGATCTCTAAGTTTGAGGCCAGCCTGGTCTACAAAACAGCATCCGGGACAGCTAGGCCCTTACACAGAGAAACCTTGTCTAGAAGAAAATAACAAAACCGAAAACAATTTACCTAGCCCAGTGTAGTGGCACATACCTTTAATCCCAGAACATGTGAGGCAGAAGCAGGAAGATGTCTCTGTGTCCAAGGCCAGCCTGGTCTACATAGCAAGTTTCAGGATGTGTAGCGTTACATTGTGAGGTCATGTCTCATAAAAAATATGGGGGGCTAGAGAGATGGTTCAGTGGTTAAGGACACTTGCTGCTCTTATACAGGACCCAGATTCAGTCCCCACATGATAGCTCAAGACAGTCTGTATCTATACTTCCAGAGGCTCCAGTGCCTTCTTCTGACCTCCACAGGCATTGCACACATGTGATATGCAGACATACTTGCAGGCACAACACCCATACACATAAAATAAAAATAAATCTAAAACTCATTTTTAAAAACTGTTACTATCAAGCCAGAGAGATAGCTCAGTGGGCAAAGGCATTAACTGTACAAGCTGAATGACTGGAGTTTGATTCCTGGAGCCGTCGTGAAAAGCAGATGCAGTGTTAGGCATCTATAAGTCCAGCATTTCTTCGGTGAAGTGGGAGGTGGAAGCCGGGGAACCTGGAAGTGCAGAGGCCAGGTAGCCTAGAGTGTGCAGCATAAGGATTGGATCTTCTGTTCTGTTCCCTTGATTTACACACACATACACACACACACACACACACACACACACACGTGTCTGCTTTGTGCCAGCACCGTAGTATTTTTATCACAGTAGATCTGTAATATAACTTGAGGGCTGGTATGGTAATCCCTCAAGTACAGCCATCTGATATTTGACAAAGATGCCAAAATACACACTGGAGGAAAGAGTGCATCTCAACAAATGGTATGGCAAAAGGTTTAATCCAGCACTTGGGAGGCAGAGGCAGGCGGATCTCTGTGAGTTTGAGACCTGCCTGATCTACATAGTGTAGTGCCCTTCCTGTGGAAATCCTTCTCTCTCCTACTCACTAACTATACCCAACCTTTCTGGATATGCAGATTGAGCATGCCCATCAAAGCCTTAAAAGCTAATATTCAGATATAATACGAGAATAAATCTAATTTTAAAATATCTTAACATTATGGGAAGTCAGAAGTATGTCAGTCCAATATAGATGTTAAGTATAGTTTTTAAATTTTCATAAATAAGGGTATGTTTTCTTTCTTTTTGAGGTTTATATTTTTATTATTTAGAATAGTTTTTAAATTTAGATGTTTTTAACATATTATTTCCCTCCCACAAGTCCTTCCAGATCCTCTCCCTGTCCCTACCCACCAAAGTTTAAGTTCTTCCTCAAGAAACAAACAAAACAATACAAGAAAACGAAGAAAACAACACCCAAAACCAAAAAACAAACAAAAAAGATAATACCAAACTGTAACCAAATAAAAGCACACACACAAAACAACTGTGGAGTCCATTACGTGTTGGTCTACTACTCCTGAACATAAGGCCTGCCCTGGGTATACCTAGTGTGACTCCGCTGGGGGAAAGTGGCTTTCTTCCTCTCTCAGCAGTATAAATGATAGTTCAGTTGTTAACCTTTGCCCTAGTGGTTAGATTTTCACTCACTCATTTTTAAAAATATAACAAAGTAAGTATAAGATAAAACAAAAGCTATCACATTGAAGTTGGACAAAAAGAACCAACAGAGGGAAAAGAGCCCACGAGAAGGCACAAGAGTCATGGACCTACTGGTTCTCACACTCAGGAGTCCCATAAAACCACTAAACTGGAAGCCATGATGTATACGCAGAGGACCTGGTGCAGTCTGGCGTAGGCCCCGTGCATGCTGCTTCAGTCTCTGTGTGTTCTTAGGAGCTTTGCTCATGCTGATTCAGAGGGCCTCGCTCTCCTGGTGTCCTCCATCCCCTCTGGCTCTTACACTCTTTCTGCCTCTTCTTCCTGGGGGTTCCCTGAACTCTGAGGGGAAGAATTTGATGCAGACATCCCATTTAGACCTGTGTGTTCCAAGGTGTGTCTGTCTGTCTGTCTGTCTGTCTCTCTCTCTCTCTCTCTCTCTCTCTCTCTCTCTCTCTCTCTCTCTCTGTCTGTCTTATTCTCTGTGTAACGTCTAGTCTCTGTATTTCTTCCTATCTGCTGCAGGAGGAAGCTTCTCTGATGATGGCTGAACTGACCTATGAGTATAGCAGAATATCATTTTGAGTAATTTAATCACTACAAGTTTTTTTTTCCTTTTCTTTTCTTAGACTAGTATTATTTGGTTTGAGCCTAGGTCCCTGAGCTGTATAGTCTATACAATTCTTGGTAATCAAAGCAGGGTCAGATATGGGTTCCATCTCCTGGAGTGCTCCGTAAGTCAAATCAGTTCTTAGCTGGTTACTCCCACAAGCTCTGTGCCACCGTTGCACTAGCATATCTTGCAGGCGGGACACATTTGTAGATAAAGGGCTTGTGGCTGGCTTGGGGTTTACATTTCTCTTTTGAGATCATGCAGAGTACATTCCTGTACCACAGATGCTGGAACGTAGTAGTGAAGGCTCCGTGTAAGCGCCAGCTTGACTTCTCCATGTTCAGTGAGTTGTGTGGGTGTTGTCTTCAGCAGTGGGGCCTTGCTGTCAGTTTCTGGAGAGCAACCTATAGTCTTGACAACAGCCTGGGTTGTTTGGAGGTTCTCTTGGGGCCCCTTTAGCCAATAACTCAATTAGATGTAACTCAGTCTCAGTACTCGAAGCTTTGTTCTATGACAACAGATGTCTTGTCTCTCCCATTATTTGGTGATTCCATTTCATTATAAGTAAATATTTTAGGAAGTTTCTACCATATTAGATTTCAATGCTACCCCTCAAATGCCCTTTAATTTTAGCTGTCTCTCCCTGTATTCTCTCCCCTCACC